TCATGACGTCGAACACGATGACATTTTCGACTTCCATTATTTGACGCACTAATTCGTTACGGAATGTGCTTATCAAAAACTGATAAAATTCCAATCGAAAGAGCCTCCCAAACAGTGGCCCCTTTTTTGAAACTCGGGGATTTCATTCGTATGCGGCTTAAATGAAACCTTATGATGAGACAAGCCTCCAGTAAAAATTTTAGCTTGAGTATACGTCTGGTTTCCAAGATACAGCGTTGCAAAGTTTGCATATTTAAGCTTTAAAAATTTGCATATTTTCAAATATCTTACTCTAAAAAACAACTCCATCAGATATAATCTGTTATTTTGTGACATTTTACCTACAGTCAGTCTTATCTTTAAATCTATATTCCTATTGATACGGTGATACTGCTGATTCTCTTGATACAACGTTGCAAAGTTGACACCAAAGACCTACAAAATTGCTCATTTTTGTAAGTTTCTGAATGAAAAAAACGAACTTATTGATCACCAACAGATCTATGTATGGTGTTTAGATGTAACTTTATAATATGATACGTCTTTTGTATAGGCCTTACCGCAAGCGTAAGTACAGATTTAATGATACAGCGTTGCTAAGTTTATACATTTGAGCTTTAAAAATATTTATATTTCTAAGTCCCGCGTTTAAACAGCTACTTTCGTGGATCTTCTTTAGAATTTGAAGCATGAAATCTACCAAATGTGTCATTTGTAGCTCTATGTTTGTATTTAAATAGGGATACTTTAATTGGTGGTGACCTTGGCGTTGCCAAGTTAACAACTTTAAACTCTCGAAATTATTATTTATGCTAGTTAAAGAGGACGTCAATGGGTGTCAGGCCTTATATCAAGGAAAAATGTCGAGGGCTGATGTCAGTTCCAAGTGACGATTGGTATTCGCAAAAAAACTTTTGCTAAGTTTATTAATACTTATTTTCAAACAATGAATAATAAATTTATTTTAAAATAAAGATGCCTCCAATAATTGATACTTAATTTTGTTTTTTTAATATTATTTTACTGTTTCTAATTTTTATTTGATTTTATCAATTTTTTCAATTTTTTTCAATATTTTTAATTTTTATTTGATTTTTTTTTATTTTTTCAATTTTTTACAATATTTTTAATTTTTTCAAGTTTTTTCAATATTTTTCATTTTTTCATTTTTTTTTAAAAAAACAGTGGAGGTACTCTATTTTGCAAGGCATAATAAATGTATTCTCTAGATCAATATTTATTTATATTTAAAAAAACTCGGCAAATTCTGTATTCTATGTTTATTTTTTTCATTTTACTTTAAAAACGGTTAAATTGGCAACTATGGCGAGGCATAATTTGTTGGATTTTGAAAGCAATGCTGGTGCTGCGAGCATTTCATCGAGCATGGCAAAGTCTCTTGAATTTGTTTTTGAAATTAGATAATTATTGGAAGTATCCTAATTTTAATTTTATTTTATGATTAAATGTTGAGATAAAAAAAAGATAAATAGGCAACAGTGTCATTTTTTACACCAACTGTCACTTAGAACTAACAAGATTCCTTGTATTTCACTTTACAATATCGAAACATGTTTGATCGGAGTTGTCTCTCATAAGAAAACAAGAGAAAAGACATTTTCAGAGATTTAGGATGTAAACTGTGCAACGCTGTGTTACTTGAAATCATTGTAGCCTTTTATCAATGCAACTATGCATCCAAAAGTATCACTAGGGGTTAATTTTATCCCTCAAAACGCAGTTTGATATTCACTGAAATTGGTTTTTAAACAAGAAACTTAAAAATATGAGCATCTAAAGCTCAGAAAGGTAAACTTGCAACGTTGCACTACCAAAACAGGGGTCATGCATGAGCTAAAACTTTTGATGGAGGCTTTTTTTTATCATTATGCTTCATTTACGCTTTGTTTTAGATTGTAAAGTTCACTCTGATGTTGGTTTTAGGAAGATAATATTTGAAACTATGAAGATTTTTAAAGCTTAAATATGCAAACTTTGCAACGCTGTATCTCCGAAACCAGACGTATACTCAAGCTAAAATTTTTACTGGAGTCTTAGGTCATCATAAGGTTTCGTTTAGGCCACATTTGAATGAAATCCCCGAGTTTCAGAAAAGGGGCCAAAAAAGGCTCTTTTTTTGGGAGGCTCTTTTTTTGGGAGGCTCTTTGCCGAAGTTTGTTGACAACATAAAAATAGCACATCATGGGGGAATCAAGGTCTGTCCTCGTGAATTTGCTTTTGAAAACAGGCATAAACTTTTCATACGACAATACGAGCAAATCTTTTTTCTCCGCGTGCATGGCAACTGCAGGTATAAACCCTTCGGATCGTCCATCCCGCCTCTCCCCATACACCCGCTTATTCTCCTGTCCCCTCGATTTCCTTGGAAAGTTGTCCTGTTCCCGGTCCCGGGGAGAATGTAAAATAGCCCATGTCAACAATTCAGGAAACGAAGTCGTCGGGTAAGGCAGGCCGTGAATTTTTTCCCCCGTGACAAATGTCGACTCTCGAGATTCTAATACCCTCGGATAGCGTTCAGCGACGAACGGAATTCAAATCACTTTCCGCCACCGTGGATTGTCGTTCGCAGGGATACGGGCCGCGGATTCGCAACCCTTCCTCCCTCAACACCTGACTCGCTTCAAAGGGATCCTCGCTCAGCCCGAAGATTTCCGAGACTGTTCAATTTTTAATCCCTTTTTCACCATCACGAATCTGGTTGCGTTAGAGTCCCTTTATACTGAGAGTGAAGACAATACGAATCCATTTCTGATTGGTTACCGTACCCTGGAAAAAAAACACATTGGATCTAGAGTCCAGACTCTTAAAAACATCGACAAGAAAAAATACTCTTGATTCAATCAGATTTAAGCTTAAATCAAGAACCAAAACCTCTTCATTTGAGCGGATTTCCTTTTGATTTAAGCTTAAATCTGATTGAATCAAGAGAGCTTTTTCTTGTCAATGCTTTCATGAGTCTGGACGCTAGATCCAATGTGTTTTTTTTTCCAGTGCGTATCTTAGACCTCCGCTGTCACAAACGGGAATAGAGATTAATTTTTTTTTTCTTTTTTCTTTTTTTTCTGCTGGTTTAATGGCTTCGTATGTGACACCCTCAGCCAACTTTAGACTATGTTTATTGTCCGTAGACATCGTGGAATCCCCATGCTCCAGGTTTTCCCAATTTTCAGGGATTAGGGCCAAGGAGGATCTGTTTCAGCAGATCTACTCGTCCATTCAGTGAAAATTAGACGCCACCACCGGGATTCGAACCCGGGACCTATTGACCTAGAGTCAGACGCGCTGACCACTATGCCAACCTGGCCGGCAAGATTACATATTCATCGATTGCAAAGATTAGAAACTGGAATGGGCCGGGAAATTGAGGCAACGGCAAGAAACAAACGGAATGAGAGAAGGAACGGAGACAGGAATTCGGGAGTGGGCTCATCAAAGATTACGAAAAACGTTCAATTTGTGTAATCTTTATTCCCGTCTGTGACATCCGTGAGCCGCATTGTCTGAACTCTCTCTATAAAGGGGCGTACGTTGCGTATTGATAACAAAGGAAATAGTCAGAGAAGTGGAGAATTTGGACGAAAAAAATGCATTACTATTTGGATTGCATTTTGCAAAAAGAAACCAGGAGCATTGCAATGTTGCTAAGACTGAGCAACTCCTTTGTCTTGGAAGAAAAACCTGATTATCCATTAACAGTCTCTATTTTACTCACTAAAAACTGTAAATTTAAGACAAAAACTACCCTGTATATTTCATATTTTTTCATGGGCTCAGTGATTTCATTTCAAAGGATGAAAATGCACAATCTTAGCATCATTGCAATTCCTCTGGTTCCTTTTTGCAAAATGCAATCAATTTGTGAAAGTGCTCAATGAGTTGAGCTCACGGTATTCTCTACACTTTTTTTTCCTGATAAAGGAAATTGAAGAAAAATCGAGTTGAAAGTGCTAAAATTTACATCCGTGTGACGTCGTTTGGGTGGCATTTTACATTCAATTACAAGTATTTTAGCAGATGAGATCGTTCTGCTATACCTCCTCCCTTAATTGAATTCCTCAGTTCGAAAATAATCCATTTTGCCAATATGAAATTTTTCAGGAATCTATAAAAGCTGCGTAACAGCCAGAGAAGGAGCGTTTCAGCGCAAAAAATGCACCGTAAAACACCCGACCTGGCTCATTTTCGAACTGAGAGATTCAATATCTCAGAAACTGAGGACAAACTCGTACTCAATTTACTCGGTAGTTTCCGTTCACGAACAGATTTCTCAAATTTCAGACACCTGAAAATTTTCCATTGCGAAGCGAGTTTCTCTCTCCTTTTTTCAGCAGTGGACATGAGCAAACAGTGCACGTGAACCTTAGCACCATCTGGACGTGTTTATTTTAAAAGAAACCACGTGCGAATGAATTTAAAACTGAAAAAAAAAACACATTGGATCTAGAGTCCAGACTCTTGAAAACATTGACAAGAAAAAATACTCTTGATTCACTCGGATTTTTGCTTGAATCAAAACGAAATCCGCTTAAAATAAGAGGCTTGGTTCTTGATTTAAGCTAGATTCTGATTGAATGAAGATTACTTTTTGTTGTCGATGTTTTTAAGAGTCTTGACTCTAGATCCAATGTGTTTTTTTTCCAGTGAATCAAAGGGAACTGTAAAAAATCCAATTCCTAATCCTACGTAAGTGCATACTTTCTTGTGATGCAGATGATTTGCACATAATTCTTTTTAGTGGAAAAGCGCTCGTTTATAAGTGTGATGAAGATCAAGAATTCAAGAACCAATGAAACAGACCGAGAAACAAATGGCTGTATTTCAGAAAATGAATGAATGTGAGTTTTAGAATTATTATCATTAAAATGTATGAAGAGGATGCAAAATTTCCACCAACTTTGAATCTTGAAACAATTGGGGAACATCATACAATTAACAAAACTGATAGTGCCTAATTAATTAATTTGAAAAATGATGCATACCTCGTCGTGTGGAATGAAGTCAGATGGCGGTTCGATCCGAAGTTCTGGAACTGAGACTCCTTTCTCCTAAACACATGTAATTAGATGTTAAATATAATCTTCAGATTCGATAAGTGTGCGTAATTAAAATTAAAAACAATTAAAAATTACCGTTTTTTGGACGATGGAAGCACCACGAGTTAGGTTGTACCCCTTGAGCGTATTGCTGGCTCTTACACGGAGAAAAACTTCGTACGTAGGACCCGAAGTTGAGGTCTTATGGATCTCTGAAGTTTTCGGATCTCGCGTCCGAAAACTTGAGGTCCAGTTGCCGAAGTTCGGGTCGAACATCTGAAGTACTTCGATACACACCGAAGGGTTTGGGTCACACATCTGAAGTACTCCGGTACGTATCAAAGTGCCTCGATGTCTGACCCGAACTTCGGCAGCTAACCTCAATTTTTCGGATGCGTGATCAAAAAACTTCAGATACCCATATGACCTCAACTTCGGGTCCCATGTACGAAGTTTTTTTCTCCGTGTACGCATATTATAATAAAGAGGAATATGGTAGCCCTTGCACAATACATTTTCTTAATTACATTCACATATAGCCGAAGCTTTTAAAGGGGTTGAAAAGCTTCATCTACATATATGTGTGTGTAATTAATAAAATGTATTGCGCGAAGGCTAAACCATGTTCCTTGTTAAATGTAGGTACCCTTTCTATCATTATGCCACCTCGAATATAGAAGAGATCTCGGAGTCATTTGCCAACGTCTGAGACGAAGACGGTGTGCGGTGGAGTCTTTGTTCCGGGCGACAGAAGGAACTAACATTTAATACCCCGAGTCACTCAGTGACGTCACATGCTTAGCGCCACCTCCTCAAGTCCAGACTCGCTTGGATGACATTATCGCATTAATCTCGAGAAACCTTTGAGACGCGCCCCTAATTTGCCCCCTATTTCACAGTTCACCCTTTCGAATCACGAAATCTAATTAAAACACCTCCTCATCTTCTTTGTCATGCTCACGGCACCTCTGCACCGGCATTGCCGAATCTCGAAACTCCTATCCAGCACTGAAAAAAAACTCTCGGCGCTTTTACCAAGGTCCGTTGGTACCTTTACCATCTCACTTTTTTACCAATAATTGGTAATTGGTAATAATTTTACCAAGACAAACTGGTAAGCTTCCCTAAAAACCGGTATTTTTACTGTTTTTTCAGGTAAGAATACCACTTTTATTGGTAATCAATTCCCGGTAACTTTGCCATTTTATCTCGGTAATTCTACCACAGTCGATAAAAAGTATTGGCGTTTTTACCGGGGTCCAGTAGAATTACTGAGAAAGTCAATAATTTTACCGAGATTTCTCGGTAAAATTACCAATTCCATAAATGGTAATTTTACCAAGAAAAAACTGGGATCAAATAGAACCCCGAATTCTTGGTAATTTTACCCTTTTTTTAGAAAATACACCGAGATTTTTTTTCAGTGAGTGCCATTTTTTCCACTAAATCTTTAAAAAGGGGGAGGGTTCCTTTTTGGTAAAATTTTAGGGATTATTTGACCCAAATTTCTGGAGATAAGAGCAATAAACGAAAATGGCTCGGATCCTTCAATGAAAAAAAAAAAAAAAAAAAAAAAAAAAAAAAAAAAAAACGCAAGAAAATTGTTAAACAAGCTTAAAATAAACGTCAAAGTGCCTCGGCCCGTATGAACCGCCTTATCAATCAGGTTACAAAAAGTAAAAGAGCAAAAATCCAGAAGTCGCTGCTTGTGATAACAGACATGAACGCGATGTCTCAAAAAAGGGATCTACAGGATTTTGAGTTTTTATCATTATTTTATTTTTTTTATTCCTTGTTTTCTGGTTGACAAGGGGTTGATATCACCCCGACACGGCTTTTTGAGTTCGTTCCGACTTTGTTTTCACATTTCCTTATGTTTTCATTTTTCGTTTGGTCTAAATTTCTTGACGTCCACATAAATCGATCAGATTTACCGCGAATATAAAGGTCAAATATTGAAGGTTTTTGGGGGAGATGCGAGGTTACATCCGTGAAGGCGTTTCAAAAATTCTACTTTTTACTTTTTGGAAGAAAGACAAATTGATGATGCTACTTAACTTTCCCAGGGAATTATCTTCCCGGAAAATAAAATAATCTCGAAAATTTTCAAGATATGATGTTGAATAGTTGTCCATGTTTATCGAACAAAGATGGCAGGAATAGTTTGAAAAGTTGGTGGTAAAGGTTTTTATTGTTTTTTTGGATTTTATTTAAATGTTTCTTATTACTAAGAAAAGTTGTTGAAGGAAAAGAGCTTGTCCTGTTCTTACTACAAGGAAAAGTTGTTGAAGGAAAAGAGCTTGACTAGTTAGGAATCTTCTGTAAATGAATGCAAAGACGTTTATATTAGCGCCCGTATACAACTATTCGAGCTCGATGGATGTGTGTGATGCGTGGGAAAAAAATTGAAGGCGTTGTAACTTTTCCTGTTCCCTCGGTAACCCGTGTGTGTAAGTACCCGCTGTTGTCGATGCGTGCTTTTAATCGGCGAATAACGTATGAATGAAAATCAGATGCGGCATGGTGTCCAATCTAAAAGTCGTTTTTCGGGGAGATAGCAATCTGTAACACGCTTTATGCCAGGAAGGGGGAGTTGGGAAAGGTGTTTCGGAGAAACTGGATGAGTCTTTTTTCAACCAAGGGACTCGATTTATCAACCTCACACAGACGATAAGCACTTTTCCAAGGAAATTATTTATTTACACAGAGAACTCCCCATTTGTTTGCTCGTTACTTAGCAGTGCGGAACAGTTTTTGTAGGTAATTTGGTTCTACCGGAAAAACCGACCGATAACGTTCCTGCAACAAGAAACAACGGAATTTCTCACAGACATGAAAGTCACCATGCGCAAAACAGGAGCTTAGGCCAACAAGGGCACGGCCCGGTGAAAATAATTGCGTCCAGTGCCTTGAAGGAGTCGTGTAGCTCTCGGCTCTGCGGTCAGCTTCGACAGCGTTTACGGTCCTTCAACATGTGACATCGCGTGCTCTAGCCTCCTCCGTAATTCTCGCCCCACACGCGTGCATACCGCCTATTCTTACCGGCAGGGCGCGTAAAAAAAACTTAATCCCCCGCCCCCTCCCATTCCTATTTCCCGCTCTTTTAGGGTTTTTTTAGACACGCGTAACATTGGATGCGTTCCGGAGTTTCGAAAGGGATACCGGCCTCGCCGGTTGCGTTTGATCGAAACGAAGGGGAATCCGGTCTCGACGGTTGCGTTCGAGCGAAAGGAAGGCGAACCGCTTCGTAGCGTTCGTCGGTTTGGATTTGCGTGCAAGGAAAAGCGTTTCCCCGAAAGGAGGGTTCCTGTTGCTCCCGGGCAGCCGCCACGCAATCGAGCTCGAGGTTATATGCTCATCACACTCGTCTGTCCTCGAGGCTCCCCTACTAATCCCATTAGGAACTTTATTTAAAGCGTGTGCTGATCCCGCCCTCTTGCACCGTTATCTGTTGCTTTTGTTTGATTAAAGTCCTGCTATTACCGATAATCACGAGGACAACAGTTCCGCTGCACGCTAAGAATAGATTGCCCAAATTAGTGGGTCCTTCTCGGCGCAACGGGTTCTCGAATCATCCGGTCCCTTTTTGTCTGCTGCTTGTACGAAGGCCGCCATTGAGTATCGTCGCAGTTTAACGAAAGAACGTAACTCCATTTCAACGCTGCGAAATTTTCTCTCATAAATTGAAATTGTAATGGGGAACTTCTGCACATATCTAAAAATAAGTATGTTGAGGCCCCATAACTCCCCCAGAAGAGATAGTTGGGTCAATTTGATTGGCTTGGAATTTCTAGGGGTAATAGTAAAAACAAAATTCTCTGAAAAGACACATGCAGCTCTAGCCAAAATACCACTTTTTAGACGTACGCGCTTCACAGCGCTTGAGGGTTTTTTTCTTTCTTTTTTTTCTTTTTTTTTAGGATTAATGATTTGGACACATCATAGCATATTCTGAGCGCTTATAACCTTAATTTTTCTCAATTTTCAAAAATCAGTGACACCTCAACGCATGTTGATGACAGCGCAGCGATATAACTTTTTGTGCTTGTTGGATGTCCATGATGCATGCAGCCGTAAAATTGAAGGGGAGATGGCGCATGACGTGAACTCGCAATGCTCCGCTCTATACTGCCAATTAGGTGTCGCTTTGATTTGGGAGAAAAGGTTAAAAACGAGATCCGAAAATGTCTTCCCTATCTCTGGCTGCGTTGCTCACGCAGCCCTTGAAGCAACATCGTTAGTAAAACTAACAGAAACAAACACATTATGGAAGTGGAGCACGGAAAGGATGCGCGCGTTGGCGACGGCGGGGAGATACAACTATTCGTGCTTGTTGGATGTCCGTGGTGCATCTGCAAAATTGAAGGAGCCTTGGCGCGAGACGTAAATTCAAAGTGCTCCAGTTTACTTCATTATTCTGATGATTACAGAAAGAGTTCTTGGCCTATCTATTTTAATTAGAATAATTCGAACTCATGGTAATGGTTTTATAAAATCTTCAAGAGTGTTAAAATTATAAAATTTTTAATGCCTATTATACTATTATGATAAGGATAAAAGTTTAAAAAAAGGGGTCAAAAGACGTCCCTCCTATCTTCCACTGTGTTGACAATCGATTTTTCTCTCTTTTTTCAATTTGATGTCCAATTTTTTTTCACGATGTAACTTGGAGACATATATCTAAAGCTGGTGTGCTCCGGCCCCACACAACCCACAGAGTACGTGTTTCTAGTAAGCCTTGGGTCAAGTACTTGACCCGGCTCGGGCATCTAAGGGTCAAACCAATAGTGTGCAAGTGCCGCGCGTACAGTTGCATTTAATCCAGCTATTTTCAGCCCAGATGAAAAATTTGCGGAGCTTTTTTTTAAAAAAAGGCGCTATTTGAATTGCAGTCTTTAAATCGACGTAACTCCAAATCAGAAAAGGATACCAAACTGTTACGAAACTTTTCTCTGAGAAGGTATTGGAGAAGGGTTTGTCAACTAGAAATTTTTCGACAGCAAGGTTCCTCA